TGGGGGCTGGGGGCTGGGGTGGGAGAGGATCCTGAATTCTGCTTGATCATCACAGGAGAGGCTAGCTGTGTATATGTGCCGTGGTTCAGACACTCATTTCTAAAACTCCACTTCAGACCAGTTATGGTTTATGTGGATGAGAGTTTTTCTGTTCCTTCAAAATACAGTGCTATGAGCTTTTTTATTTTAAACGTGTTTATTTTTAAAGACTTGTCAATTCTGTCACTGGCCCACTTGCCTTTGTTGATGGTCAAATATCCTATCTTTTAGGGTGGGAGAGAGTGGTTTTTAATGCCTTTGCTTGGTAAAGTGAAACTTGGCAATAGTCTCTCAGTCTTGATGATTTTATTTTTCTTTTTGGTGAGATTTTTACTTACCTGTGAAATCTAAAACTGTTAGAAGCACTGGTTTAGTGAAGTGTTTTCTGAGCTCTAGTTTATCTAAATATAAGATTCATATCAGCCAGCGTTTATTGAACACTTGGTACTGTGCTTGATGCTTTTCACATTTATAGCATTTAGAACGAGCTCCCTGAACATCCCCCAGCTAGTGGGGAAGTGGAGTAGAAGCCCTGTGAGGAGCAGGGCTTTACAATTTTGCCTTTATAATCCACTAAGGAGATAATTCACACCTGAATTATTAGAATAGACTATTCCTTCATTCCTGCTTGAATTACCTAACAAACACGTTAATGTGTTTGTTACATGAGATAATGTATGCAAGGAGCTTACCGTGGTGCCTGGTACATGTAAGCACCCAATAAATGGTAGTTATGGTCATTATTGTTGTTGTCGTTAGTGAGCTTACCACAGAAATGTGGCAAGAACTTAGGGTTGAAGGATGATCATATTTAGGCAAAGTTGAGAACATGGACATCAGTCATATCGTCTGCTCCTCTAGGGCTGAACAGGAAAGACACCAAGGTCTGGGCTTGTTTAGGGCCAGGGCTGGGGCTCTGTTGATACTCCCTGGCCTGATCTCGCCTCTGCTCTGTTTGAAATGCTATCACAGCAGACAGATTCAACCCACCAGCAGCCTAGGAGGTTTGGGTGGAGGGAGCCAGTGTCGTCTTAACAGGCAGTTGGACTTTTCCTCTCTGAGATTTCCTTTCAGAGCTGGGTTGGATGTTTTAAATGAGGAGTCCAAGTCCAGCACCCCCACCAGGAATATTGGTTGCTGTGGTGCAGGGAAGGGCAGTGTCCCAGAGATAAAAACATAGTGTCAGATACAGGATAACCCAAAACCAAAGTGATGTCAACTCAAGTCCCAGTTCTGATTGTCCTCCAGCAATGTAAAAATCACATCTTTGTCTCCAGGATAGGTGAGAAAAGCTAAGAACAAGTGTGATCACTCTGCCACAACTCAACTGACCATGACACTCCAGTTTCTTCTCTTCTGCCAAGTGAGGTTCTGTCCACCTGTCTGTACCACCTGGTTGGTGTTTGTCTACCTTTTATTAGCCCAGTTGCTGCAAATACAGATCTGTCCCCAATCATTCAGTTTTTGGACTCTGGTCCATTATAGTTCCTTTATTGGAAACAGATTATTTTTAAATGATGATAAACCAAAAATCTTCATTTTTTTCCCTTCTGTCACCTTGGCAGACTGTTAGAAACTGTTTTTGTTTCTCTCTCCCAGGACACCTTGTTCCTCACCTGGCTCAAAATTCCATGGGGCATTTGCACCCTAAGCCCCCACCCCTTCAAGTTGGTGTGCCCACTACTGTGGCACAGAATTGGTTTCAGCACCTTGGAGAGCACCACAGGTCCTATTCCCTTGCCACTCTCTTTTAATCGCTATCTTTATGCTTCAACCTTTTCCCTTCTAGCCTCACGATTCTCCAAAGAGGTTAGACATTTCTCCAAAAATAGAAATTCCCTCCCCGATTTCTCCCAAAGGCTCTGTGGGCAGAGACACTTATCCTGGGTTTGGGGTAGGCTTTCCAGCCTCTGATGGGCATGAGGTTTATGGTGCTATGCTGAACTGCTATTGAGCAGATTTACCGACTCTCAGACATGATATAAGACAATTACCATGCATTTCATCTCTTAGAGGGAAAAGGATTTGCAGCGGGTTAATAGTACTTTTATTTCATTATCTAATGGTAAAAGTGTTTCATTGTGTGTGCAAGATGAATGCGTATTAGCAGTGACAAATGGGGTCTTTCAGCACGGTGCCGGGCCGCATCATACATATGTTAGATTAAAGAGTTCACCCTAGAAATACACTCCCGCATCTGCGTGTGTGTTTTTAATAAATCTGATTGCAGAAATTTATTGCATCACCGGATTTAGGAAATTATAGGGCTTGATTGCTGCAGATATAATCGGGTGATAAATACAGAAATGCTCCTCGAGTTATGGTCCAGAAAAAAAGCCCATCTTGGGATGGTGCAGGAAAGCAGCAGACCACATAAACAGAGTGTTTCTTGAATTATGCAAATGAAATCCATGACAACTCATGGTGAATTGTACTCCCCTTGTGAAACTGCTGCCATTACAGTGAAGAAAGCCACAAGAGGGGTGATCAAATATACATGTACCACCAGCAGGCATTGTCTGTGACGTGTGTGAGCTGGTGCTTCCGCCACTCCATCCTTCACTCTCTTTTCCCCCCTCGATGGTATGTCCTGCAAAAACCTGGTCTGGACACCTTCACTGCACGTAAGCAAGGCTCCTTCTAATCCATTTCTTCTGGATTCAGGAGTCTTCAATGAAATATTTCTTACACTTGGAGTGAACCTTAAATGATTTACTGCAGGATACACAAAAGGTCAGCTTGCTTCTTATTGGCACCTTCATTTTTCCAAAATCTACTGAAATTAAAAAGCCATCTATATCTTAAAAGGCGTATTTATGAACCCTTAAGTGTAAGTAAGTCATAGTTGGAACGATTCCCACCTCTGATATATGAAAGCTGTCGACAGCACTTTCTTACACTATAATATGCCCATACAATATGCCGCACTTGACTATTTTGACACGGTTTGGAGATGTTTTCTACAGTTACTGACAAGCTTATGCCATCGCTCGTTTGGAAATTTAAGAGGTGGGGCAGGGGGGTGGGGGAGAGATGAAAAAAACAACTCCACCCAACTTTATGGGAGTTTATTGATCTGGCCCGACTTCCGACCAACAAAAAAAGCTGCCCTGGATTTTTTTTGGTTGCATCCCCAGTTTCGTAAATTATTCATTTGTGCCAGGAGTCAATATCCTGTCTTTTCTCAGCTTTGTAAGTTAAGAAAACTTGTTCGGAATGCTGTTTTGTATGATGATTAAAAAGGAAAAGGAGGGGAAAAAATCTTTTTCTTTTTTCTCTCTCTCTTTTTTTATTGTTCCAGAAGGAGCTTAATTCCGTCGCTTCTGAGCTGTCTGCACGGCAGGAGGAGAGTGAACATTCTCATAAACATTTAATTGAACTCCGCCGGGAATTTAAGAAAAATGTACCTGAGGTACAGTATATTTGCTGTTATAGAATTAACTCAGTAGGAATGCAGATTTTTCTTTGTTCAAACTATATTTTGAAAACTGTAGACATAAGTGACTAACAAGAAAAGAAGCTAATTAGCCCCAAAGAAAAATTACAGCCCCCATTCTTTCGGGGACTCTCAGTATAGTGGAGCTCAGCGGTGCTGTCTAAAGTAAGGGCAGGGCACTTCTCCACTGAAGTCATTGTTTTTGAGGGCTCTATAAAACATCCATTCTCTCCCCACATTCATATCTAAGTCAAAAGCTTGGCCTTGATGGCAAAAGCAATCTGTCTAGAGTTCTTTATTTTACTTTACTTTCCATTGGCGTCTGAGAGGTTACAGCTACAACCACCCCCTCCTGTCCTTCCCTCCATCTCTGAAACTGCCTCCCACCCCCCATATATATGCCTTGTTCTACCCTTCCCCCCTTCCCTTACAACTCCAGCCACCAGCTTTGTCTTTCCCAGCTGCCATGAGGGTGGTCCAGATAATGACCAGCCCCAAGCAATGTAAGGCCCCCCAGGAGAAGAGACTAGAAAGGACTTGTTTCCATTCTTTACAGGGGTGAATGTGTGAATTCCTTTCCCTCTTCTATCAGGCCCCCTGTTGCTTCTCAATTTTATTTTTTTTTAATGATAAAGTAAATACAAATAGGAAAAATAAAGCCTTCTGACTCCATATAATGTTGGCAGTTGTGTGGCACCTCAGAGCCATTATGGGAAACAGAGACCCTGACCACCTCTAAAGCCCACTGTGCTGCTCTGGTCAGCAGAGGTTAGTTGAGGTGTCTGTGCAAACCTGCTCCAGTGGCCTGGGTCTCAGAGGAGGGTAGAGCAGGATCCCGCCTTCTGGGAGCATCAGACTTGGAGATGTTGATTCCACTCTGCCTGTTGGAGTCTTCAAGGGGCCCTGTTGCCATCTTGCTGATGGAGGAGGAGTCCATGGAAAGATAGAGAAGAGGCAGGCCTATCAGGAATCGGGCCACACGGACAGAGGGGGCAGCCTCTTAGCTGTGGAACCCTCCTCGCACGAGTCATGGATATCTTTGGTTCTTCAGTGCCAGAGAGGGAAGTAGGATCCATCTAGAACTAGAAGGACTCAGGTTTGAGAGCTGAAGGACGGTGCGCTTAGAGATGGGGCAGGAATCTTAGTTCTGTTTCCCATATCCTGGCTTCAGAAAGGCCATATCAAATCCTTAGTTTGACCACAGGAGCTAAGAATGGCAATGCTGAGCAACTTTCCCTTCCCTCTTAGAACAAAGAATATCTTGGTCTTTAAACTGATTTTTTTTTGCCTGGAATGAGTACCAGAAGCTTTGCCTCTAACTCCAGTCTTTGCGAAGCAGAGACGAAAGCACCCCAGGCCTTCATAGCCTTCCATCTCATCCCCCTTCCCCAGGCCCAGGTGAGGAGGGAAATCCAGGCCAGGTTTTAAGCCTCGAGTTCGGCTTACATAATTTTAATACTGCATAATTATGCAATTACGTAATTAGGAGGAATAAGTTTCCATTCCTATTATAGTCGTGCCTCTGAAAATTTTCATTTTTGGAACCAGTCTCTCCTGATGGGGAGAGTCATGCCAAGGCTTTATTTAAGAACATCATCTGGCTGGAGCCCAGCTCACATCCCGCTGGTGCCTTGGCTCCTCTTCCCCCAAAGGTTAAGCAGACAGGGCATTGGCCTGAAGTCCTTCTAACCCCCTCCTCAGACTTGAGTCCTCTAAACTCACTTGAGTGTGGGGTGGTGAGAAGAGCCTCTTTGGGAAATCTGTTGACCTGCATCAGATTCCAGCCGTGCCCCTCAATCCTGCAGAGGCTTGAGCAAGCCAGTCTGCTCAGGGCCTCAGTCTCCCTTTCTGTAAATTCAGGGGACTGGAGACTTGGTTCCTGAGTCCCTTCAGGCACTGACATTTCCTGAACCTGAACCAGAGGCTTCCTGCCCAACTGTTTTATTTTGTTTATAAAGTCTTTTAAATTTTATAGTAAGTTGCCAATGTTTAGCATCTCGGGAGATTTTAACCAAAAACCTCGATTTCCAGCGTCTTTGAGACTACTTGGTAGACCTGGCCACATGGAGGCTTCATGCCCATGTGACAGTCACCACACAGAGCTGAGTAGCTATCACCCTCATTAGACTTGTGTTCCCTCCAGAGGTTTGCCACAGGACCTCCCAGCCTGCCTTCCTCCAGCCTCTGATGGCCCTTTCGTTCACAACCTTTGACCTGCATTTTTCCCCCCATTACTCAGCCTGTGTGCCTATGGTTTCCCGTGATCAAATCCACTTGGTTCACATGTACTACCTATGTCCCTTCTGAAGATCCCCAACATACATCTGCATATCAGAGGCTCTGCGAAGCCCTAGGGGACACATCAGTCAGTGAGAAGAGGGACCCAGAACCCAGAAGTGGGATTTTCTCCAGGGCAGAAGCAACACAACCTTATTCTTTACCTGAACATAGGTATTCTTCTGCCCGTGTTTTTCTTTCTTGCTTCTCTCTGCTGCCCACTCCCTCCCCATGCTTGTGCGACCCCAGCTCCTTCTTGTGGGTCATGACTGAAAGAGGCAGGGTGATTCACCCATGAGTTGCAGAGGAAACTGGAGCATTTAGGGTTGGGATCTTGGGACGCTTGATTTTAAAAGCCTCTCTCTTGCATGCTGGGGAGAACTCATAGGAGTCCACCATGGGAGCCCTTGGGGCTGGGAACCTCAAAGTCACTTGCAAAAAGCAGGACATTAGGGTCTGGAAATAGGAGACTCCCTTCTGAAAACAGCCATGGAGGTCATCAGACCTTTACAGAGCCCTTCCTCTTGAGCTGGATGCCATGAGGGATGACCCAACCAGGTTGCCAGAAGCCACACGTTCTGGTGAGGAAGGAGAGACGAATACAGAGTAACGTTGCTAAAATGCTGGGTGGGGAAGCAGAGATGGCAACCTGAAGGAGACAGTCCCTGACAACACCTAAAGGACTGAAGGTTGTCATGAAGGGACTTTGGTGACATGAACCTGTATGTGGAGAATTGGGGTCATCTCTCCAGTCCCGACTCCAAAGAGTATCCCATGATGGACCTCCAGTCGCACAGGTTCTTGCATCAAAGAGAATTCCATGATCAAATCCATTTGGGAAATGCTACTTCTTCTCCCTCTCTTCTAGAAATTCCCAGTGTGCATTATATTAAAGGCTTCAAAAAGTCATGCGGGAGAGAAACTCGATGCTGGATTTGATGTGTCTCCTTATGTGTATGTGTCTGTGCGTAGGTGTATATTTGAGGAACTCTTAACAAAATTCCATTGAGCACAAGTCCACAGGACACATGGGAAATGCTGACCTAGGGGACAGCAGTGAGCTGCAATCAGGGGCCATGGGTGTCCCAACTGGCACTATGGTGAACTCTTCACTGATCTCTTTTTCAGGAAATCAGAGAGATGGTGGCTCCTGTATTAAAAAGCTTCCAGGCTGAGGTAAGACTGAAGGCCCATGGCATATCCCAAACTCAGTTCCCTCCCCTATCCCACCTGGAGTCACCAGAGGAGGCCAGCAGCCTCTGGACATTTGGGAGAAATTTCTCTGCCCCGTTCCCTCTGATCAGCCAATGGTGTTGTGCTAAGAGTGGGTTCTCTGTTGTGTTTGATGAGAGCCCAGTGTCTGATCCCAAGAAATGCCCCTCTTCCTAGATGCTGCCCAGTCTTATGCCAGCTCTGCTACATGTAATATCTATGACTTGAACAAACCACTTCACCATCCAGGCTGTTTTCTCATTTTTGGACGTTTGTACTTGGTCATTTTTGCTCTCCTCTGGCATTCTACTCTGCTTTGATTCTCTAAGGCAGCCTTGCAGATAAGTCCAAACACTTACCAGCCTGTCCTGAAATCCTCTCTACCTGCCCACCCATCAGGCCGTAGTTCCTTTGGCAGCAGCCAAGCTGCCCTCAGCCAGTTCCTCTTGCTTTCCTGGAGCCCTGGGATGTAGCTGGACCTCTCCCATTTCTCTTCTTGGCTTGACTTTGTGACCAGGATTCTGAGAATGTCCACTTGTCTGGCTGGTATAGGAGGTAGGCTAGGAAAAGAATGAAATTACACGTAGGCAGGAGAGTGGAAGGGGAGGTCATTTCTCACATGTTCCATCTTCACGGGGTTCTTCTTGGTCTTCCCCTGGATTCAAGCAGGACCCCAGAAGGACTGCCCCTTCCCAGAGCTTGCCAGCAGAGATGCGTTTTAAGTCTGTCATCTGACAAGTGCCACATTACTTTAAATCTGTCTCTTTGGAGCTGCATAAGCTCACAAGGCAATATTAAAGTAAACAATAACTGGATTTACACAAATGTCGCTGATTTCCATATTTTTCATCCCTTCATTTTATTACTGAGTTGACTGATGTGCTTATTTATTTATAGAGCCATTCAGTATTGATTCATTTGGTTGTGAGGTGCCTGAGCTGGAAGGGGGGGAAAACAAAAACAGAAAGAAGACTAATAATGTTGGGAATGTGTTGTCATGGCCTTGTGTGTTTTAAAAAAGAGGTCCTCATCTGTCAACTCCTGGTCCCATGAAGGACACTCAGCACATGAGCCTCTCAAGCAGCTGATCCCTCTGCTCAGCCCCAACATAGGTATCAAACTTTTGGTGTGGTGGAGCTTCTCTTAGCCACTTAGAGCCTCAGTTTCCCTGTCTGTTAAATGGGAATAAAGATACTATATAGACTTTTTCATGTTGTTTTGAGAATAAACTGAGATATAATGCAGGGAAAGGTTTAATGTAATGCCTGGCATGTAGAGAGCTATTAGGGAGTGAAGAGCACAGACTCCAGAGTCAGCCTGGGTTTGAATCCTGCCTCTGCCAGTTACTAGCTGTTTGACCTTAAGCAACTTACTTGACCTCTCTGTGCCTCTGTTTCAAATCTATAAAGTTAAATGATAATTATACCTACTTCATAGGGTTGTGACTGAGGAAGAACCAAGTTAACACCGATGAAGTGCTTTGAACGTTGCCTTCAGTGTTAGAAGTCTTGCTTGTTTTTTTCCTGCCAGTCACCTCCAATATAGGTTTATCCAGCCTTCACTGTACCAGGGCTGGATTCTGCCCCTTTCTTAGGTGCTCAAGGCTTTTTATCCAAAAGAAGGAGTCTTTCCGTCCCTGTAGGAAACAGGCATGACTTATGTCATCTTTTCCATAGGAGAAGAAGTTAAACATTAGGTTTGGTTGATGATCCACAGGAGACCTGAGAGCAGGATGGTGGGAAGCACATGCAAATAAGACTTAGGTCTGGCCTGAATCTCAGCCCTGCCACTTACACTAGCTGTGTGGCCTGGGGGAAGTTTCTTAACGTCTCTGGGCTTCAGCTTTCCTTCTTTGGCAAATGTAACTTAACTGCAAGGATTTAAAGAACTAAGTAGAGGCACTTGACATGTTGACAGGGTGTCTGGCACATAGTTGGTACTCAATAAGTGTTGGGGGAGAGTAAGTCTTAGTGGGGCCAAAAGGAGAGACAAAGCTGAATTCTCATTTCCAAACCCATTTGGCATGTTGAATAGACACTGTTGTAATAGCTGGGGATCTTCAAAGAAATTCATTAATTTTCTTAAGATGGCTTTTCATTGTCCCTTTAATGTACCAAAAAGACTACATTTGTCTGGCGTTTTATTCCCGAAACCCCTGCTTTCCTCATGATCTATTGACTAATCCATTGCGGCAGCCACGGCCCTCCCCAGGCCTCAGGGGAGACACACCGCCAAAGAAAGGTGTTAATAAAAAGCATCTTCTTCATCCAGGACAAGCTACACACACACAGGCCGTTCATAATCCAAATTTGATTTTCATTTTAATTTTTTTAATGAGGGTTCATCCTTTATGCCGCTTTTCTCTCACGATCCACCAGGCTCTGGGCTCAGAGCTGAGGATTCCCAAGTGGGTATTAATCACCTCCCAGGAATAGTCCCCGAGGCAAACACCTTCCCTAGTCACATAAACTAGCCCATAAAACGCCAGGGCTGAATATCATACCGCCACTCCTTCTTCCCCTGTGTGGACCTCTTGTTGAAATATAACGTCTTCAAGTTCATCCCTAATTTTACTCTACCAGCCTCGGTGTATACAGAATCTGGGCATCCTCTTTATCTTTTCATACTATATATGTGAGTGTTATGGGTCTTTTTTTTTTTTTTTTCTTGTCTTTTTTTTTCAAGTCTGCGTGTGTGTGCTGGTGGGAGGGAGGCGGAGAGGAAGTGAATTTGCCCTGCTGCGAATCAAGGAAGCTTTTCCTCTCCGCCTTGATTGCTCAAAGGCCAGCCTTGATTCCCCCTGCTCAGGGAAACAAAGACAGCCAGAGAAGGTGGCTTAATGGAGACAGCTTGAAATGGCCAAAGTTTGAATATCCTTGCTCGCAGAGAAAAGAGCAAGACGAAAGCCCCGCTAATTACAAAAGTTGCTTTATGAAAGATAATTCAAAGCAATAATTTAGCAAACATAATCAAGTCGCACAGATGGGGTTGTTGATGGATGGATTGCAACATGCAATTAGCAGTTCTCGCAGTTACATATCATTAACCCTCCGAGCACAAAAATTATTTTCTCATTATTAGTTGAAAAGGTAAAATTAAGCTGACTAGACAGTAAAGGAACAAACTACAATTAATTACCTTCATTTATTACAGTCATTATTTTAAACTTATTTTTACTTGGAGAGAGAGATGAAAACATCTAAATTAAAAGTTTTGTTATGCTAAACTAGAGGTGAAACTTTTCTAAGGACTATGTGCAATGCCCCAGCCAGGAAGATGGCAGGGCGACTGCTAGGAGATTTTTTTTCTCTGCTTCCTTCTTGTACCATGAAGGTGGCGTAGCCTGCATGATAGCAAACCCTTTGGGTTGAGCTGGAAGAGACACATTCACCTGGGCCTGATCGAAACACAACAGTTTGGGAATCAAGGGGGCTGACGGGGCCTCTGACCCCCAGGGGAGGCAGGAGAGTGTGGTGTTCAGACACCAGGGTCTGAGTCCCACCTTCACACTGCTTATCTGATTTTGGCAAGTGACTTTATTATGTCTCTGGGTCACTGTTTCCTTGTCCGTAAATTGTCACAGCTTGTAAGGTTGCACGAAATTCAATAAAATTCTCTTTTGAGTGTCTGGTGAGTCATTTGTCCTCATTGTGGTGGGTGTGTTTGGTTGCATAGGCTGAGATGTTCTCTCCGTGCTCTCTCAGGGTCAGAGGGAGCTCTTATGGTGTGAGCACCTTCTAGGAGCTTAGAGAGGAGGCCAAGACACTGTTTTCCAAGAGATGTATTCATCATCAGTTGAGTCCATGCAATCATTTATTCACTCAACAAATATTTATGGAGAACCTCCTGCATACCAGGTGGTGTTTTAGGTGCTGCGCCCAGTGAAGGTCACAACCTGTTGTCAGCTTGACCCCTCTTCATGTAGGGGAGGGCCAGCATTTGTGTCCTACCCAAAGCGCCACTGTTCTACTTGGAATCTTGCAGTTCCACTCAACAAATACTCATGGAACACCTACTGTGTGCCAGACTCCAGGCGAGGGCCGTGGAAGGTCCGAAGATGGTGAAACACCATCCCTGCCCTCAAAGAGTGTCCCTGGAGTTCAATTTCTATGATTGAAATGATTTCCAGGAATCATGTCAAGAGCTTGTAGAGACCTGTTGGTTTCCTTCCTCCACTTGTTTGCTGAGCTTCACGTTCACACCCTTCCCCATGATGGCTGCACAGCACTTCCCATCCCATGCACATCTGCATGATGTCCTGGCACTCTGCCATTGAGAGATGGAGCCTGTCTCCATCCCTTGAATCTGGGCCTGTGTCTACTTCAACCCATAGAATGTGGCGGACGTGACCCTGTGCCAGTACCAAGCGGAGGCCTTAGCTGACAGGGCAGTTCCACCTCCTGCCTCTTCCTGCCCAGCTTCTCATAAAAAGTGTGACTACCCTGCCACCACCCTTCTGTGAGAAGCCCAACCTACATAGAGAGGCCCTGGTGGATGAGAGAGGAGCTCCAGCTGCTGTGACCACCTAGAAGATGACAAGAGAGAGCCACCCAGCTGAGCCCAGTCAACCCACAGGACCATGATAGATTATAAGAAGTTGCTTGGAGGCACTGCATTCAAGGGTGGTTGCTCACACAGCAATAAATCACCAGAACACCCAGATTTTCAGAATACAGGTTCTTCCTTCTTCCCACTTCTCTTTTACTCTCGCCTCCTCTCTCTTCTCCCCTCCTTTTTTCTTCCACCTTCCCCTCCCTTTTCTTCTCCACCCCTGCCCCCTCTTCCTCAGCCTTGTGGCAGATTCTAGTCTTCTGAAAACATTTCCCCACGTGCCAAGTTCTTAGTCCATGTCTGCAGAGTGCAGCCTTCCTCCCATCCTCATTCCAGAGGGGGCATGGCAGGTGTCCCTGTGGCAGAAGCCAATGCACACAGAGGGCGTAAACCTTCTCAGCTCCAGGCCTGGC